AGGTGTCTGTGTATCTACAGATAGATTTGTCTATTTATAAGTAGATATACAAATAATGAGACCGAATAGGCATTTTTGTTTCCTCTCAGACTTTTAACTTTCACACCACTTATTTAGTGGTTCCTAGCCTCATTTTGTGATGATAAGCTTATCTGATACTGAAATCGTCATGTGTGCGTGTATGTATGTCAGCACATTATAATTTATTCCTTTTGCAGCTTTTGTTTACCTTTGACTCAGAAAGTGATGAAAATAGGGAAGAGAAAATGTGTATCTATTTAAAGTAAACACGTGTCTTTTGGTCTGTGATTTTGTCCCCCTCATCCCCTTGAGCACAATCCTAGTCTAGACCTCTTTCTCTAACGTGGTGTTGGATGCTGCGTTTTTACATGCCTCAAGCTCGGAAAATATAAGACCGCTTCCTCATCTTCCTATCTTCATTTGGGACCAAAATCTTCCCCCTCTAATACCTTTGCAGGGAAGCTGTTCTGATTCCTGTTTTTAGTGTCTTTGCCAGTCTACCCATGGAGCGTCCAGGGTATTTACCCTGTCAGTACTGAAAACCCCAGAGAGGCGTGCCTTCTAACAAACGTGCTGACAGCTGGGGGGCCCCTCTTGTTCCCCAACGGGGTTTCATCCCCCAGTCTGATGCCAGTTGGCACCCACCACACTGGGAGTTGCCCGTGTGGGAATCTGTGACAAGTAGGTTCCAAGACTCATCCCCAGCAACAAAGGACGGGTGGGGAGGTTTCATTTCAAGTCTGACTCGCTGTACCTCCTGGCACTCCCTTATTTGAAAGGAGAGCCTGTGGGTGGCCTATTGAGATTTCCTGGCAGAAGTTCCCTCAAGTTCCTGGGACTTTGCTTTTAACCTATGGATACACTGCAAGCACGAATGTTGGCCTGGGAAGGACTTTGTGGGATCCTCACAGAGATTCAGGGTCTACTTGAGCAGTTTGTAGAGAAGCAGATTTGAACTTGGGGTGTTCCTGTCTGAAATATTTGTCTGGGCTGTTGGCATCTTGCAAATATCTCAACAGAGTGGAGCTCCTGCTCCCCACTTTTTTTTTTTTTTTTAAACAAAATAGAACTTTTATTCCCTTGTATCTAAACATGGGACATGTAAGGCTAATAAGGTGGCTTCACCATTTTCCCGGACTTGGGTCCCGTCCATCTTCTTGTTCTAAAAACCGTGAAAAGGGTTCTGTCTGAATGTCCTAGAAGAGTTAACCCACGGACCTTCCTTTGTCAGGAAGGAGAGAAGTGAAAGATAACGGAGATCCCTCCCTCCTCTTAAGGACGGTTCCTGGAGGTGACAAATAGCCCTTCTGCTTAGCTCCCGTTGACTGGAAGTTAGTCACAGGCCCATGTCCTGCTACAAAGGAAAATAAGTCAGCGTTGGGTAGTCATGTGCTCAGCTACGTGTGGGGGTTTCTCTGACTGAGCTAGAGGGAGAATGATATAGGGGGACAACCATCACTTCCCTACGAAGGAAATTGTGTCGTTCTGAGAAAACTAAATAGAAAAATTGGTACACTTAGATTTCATGTGGAATCACAGGAACCAAGAGGTTATTGTTTTCGCTATTTTTGCCGACACTCAGACACCACTCTTCTAGAATGTAGAAACAGCTCTAGAGCATTTAGGGAGAATCTCAAGATCGTATGGTTAGCTCAACTTGCTGCTAGAGTTCAATCCTGTGACCAGAAGGGCATTGAATTCTTGGAAACATTACATACGCATCCTATTGTTATTTTATATATTACTGTTTTCCTGATGGTTTCAGACAGTGGTTGAGTTTGCCAACCTTTCAATTATATTTGGACTCCATGAAGGGCCCTCGAAGTCCCAATATATGGGAGTCACAGATTAAATGCTTTGGTGATGGGCTGGCATGATGGAGGTATGGTTGGTCTTTTTAAAAATTTTTATGAATTTGAAGATGTAACTGGCTTTATTAAGTCATTCACGAACGGGCAGCATCCCTCTAGCAAGTAGAGGGATGCTCCCTGGGCGTGTAACTTAGTAGGGACCTTGAGGAAGAGGTGAGCGGTCCTGACGCATTTCTCTTGTCGATGCTGTTCCTCGACGACCTCAGGTGGCAGCACGCACTGGTGAGACCGGAGTGAGACGTCGTACTCAGGCCATGTCCAGATCCGCAAGCAAGCGAAGGAGCAGGTTTTCTTCCCTTTGGGGTCTGGACACTACCTCCAAAAAGAAGCAGGGACGCCCCAGCATCAACCAGGTGGGTTCCAGGGTGGGCGAAAGAGCAGGCACAGATTGCTTCCATGGCCACCTCAACTTGGGATGCATGTGCATGTGTGGTGATTTATTGGTACTGGGTGGTATTTCGAATCAGCTCACTGACACAAAGACGTTGGTTGTACTAGACGCTTTTAATAGCTAATGTGTACTCATGACTTTGAACTCTGCTATTAGTCTATCACCAAGCTCCAGTCTCCCACCTGCATCCTTTGCAAACCCTGGCTAATTACAGACCTCCTGAAAGTGCACAATTCATCCTGAGTCTTCGGAAAAAAGCGGGGCTTGTTGATGAAGCCAAGTGGGCACCTGAGCACAGGGCTTTTTAAGCTGCTTCTGGCGTTGGATCAAAGGTGGCCTCCGGGGAGGTCAGATTGTTCCTCTGCCATTAGCTTTTTGGGGTTGACATGAAATGGGGAGTTCCCTTGTCTTCCAGTATGAGAAATCAGGAGTCTGAGAGTCCTCACCACTGCCATGATGCCCTTCTACCCAGATGCTGGGGCTCGAAGGGGATCTCGGTACCTCACGAATGGCATCACCGAGAGGTGTACCACAGGGTCAGTCCTCTGATAGCCACATGCTGTGGCCTTGTCCTTTTTATCCCTTTTAGCCAAGACCGCCATCCTGCTAGAGTCACTTCTAGGAACTTCTCTCCATTGTCATTGTCATTCTTCTTTGGCTTTGTGAAGCAAGTGGCTCCGGGACTGCTTGCTCGTGATTTAGGGACTGAAGGAACAAGGGTCTTGGTCTTTTCAGGAGAAGGAGAATGTTGGATTCATGGGTTATGGTGGCTGAAAAGTGAAGCACTGAGCATGTTGGAGGTCATGGCTAGGATTCCCAGTTTGACCTGTTCACTCTGTGCCCTTATGCAAAGTGAGAAGCCAGTTGACTAATTTGATAAAAAGATCCCTCATTGTTTGTTCTGACAGTTCCAGCCATTAGCTTACACAAGAACTGAAATTTAGAAGAGACAGTCCTGAAAAGTGACGTCCTACGTTCCTAACTGACCACCACACTCACTGTTTAAACGTGGGTATTCTGTGTCGGTGATGGACGTTGCAGGAGACCAGATGAGCAGGTGATAAGTGAGCCTCAGACTGAGCATTCATGCCGTTTGGTCTGTGGTCTTTGGAGAAGGCAGAGCATCAAGTCTGCTACCAGGTTTTGCTTCTGTGTAAACCTGAAGAAGAAACAGTGTGGAGGAAGGTCACTGATTTATCAAAACACTCACGCAAGAGACTTGATGTCTCTGGACGAAACGTACGTACAGAAGGAAGACATTCGCCACTAGGATTTCTCCCCTCCCTTTGGCAGGTGGTGGTGGCGTTTTGCGTGAATCCTCCTGTGATGGCAGGTGACTCAGAGCACCCACTAAAATACATGCCAGGACTTGGCAGTTGGGAACTGGGTTCGAACGTCTTTTCTGTCACAAGCCTTGGTTCATGCGGTGGTAACTGTATCGGGGCCAGCTTGTGTCAGAGTCCATGGCTGCTGAAATAGATGCCTCAAGTTAAATGAGGTCCAAGAGAATGTTTTAACGTATTTCAAAAATCAAAGGACGATACCATTTCCTCGAAGCAATTCTTGTTCCTGTCTCTTAAAGTAAGAGTTTATAAAAACTTCCTACTTAGCCATGAGCATACCAACAGAAATCTACTTGTTAATTCAGGACTCTGAAATGGACACAAATGGTGTGTTTCTATCTATCTCATTTGCATCGTGAGAAAGGCTTTTTCTTAATCATGTGTAATATCCTTAGAGTACCTGGCTGGTTTAGAGCCAGAATATAAAACTTTCTCTTGTCGACATGTTTAGATTTTGACTACTGAACAGAATTCATTTAATTTCAAAGAACAGACAAATTTCTGTCTTTTTTTCTTTTTCTTTAATTAAGAAAACCTTTTCTGGGATGTTACGGAAAGCACTCTAAATGGATAGTCTCAGGTTCTGCTCAGCAGAGTATGAAAAGTAAACTAGTTGTTGATGAATATCTGATTGTATATGTGAGGGAATTGTGGAAACTGTTCAATGTG